ACATGCCGGGAGCGTAAAGGCCCTACGAATAGATAGAAAGTGAAATAACTCCATATCGTTACCCTTTGAAAGTAAGGTCTCATTCATATTAGCTAATTATTTGTCATCTAATAAATAAGTGAACATAAATATTATTTTCGGCATGTGGGCCAAATTACCAGGAATCGACGTATTTATATATTTTTATCTTAATTTCATATTCAAGATTTCGAAAATATTAATAAATTAGGTAACCATGAATGGTTGTAACACAAAAATTAATTTTTTCGATAACATAAATATGAAAAACAAATTTTTTTGTAAAAACAAATTTAAAATAAGTTCAAAAGTTTTGTTCATGAACAACCTCTTTTTATAAAAAAAAAAAAATCAAAGGAGTACTAGGTCCTGACTCAGGGATAACTTAGGATGCCGGGATAAAAATTTTATTTAACCTATTTTAGAACTTTATCAAAGAAATTATGAAAAAGGAAATTCTTAATTGAAGATCAGAATCAGTGTGACATAAACATAAACAAGTACCAGTATCCTTCGTTTCTAAAAAGGAAGGAGATTGAAAGAAAGATATATATAGTTTACTTTATTTTAAATATCCGGGAAAGACAAAAATATATCAGTAAATGATATACGGATGTATTATAAAGAAATAATCCGAAAAAAAAAAAAAAAATTTACTTTTTTAACTTTGAAAAATTTGAACAAAGCGGTAAAAAAGAATTTGGCTGAGATTTTGCATTAAAAAATTAAATGTACTTTGACAAACTGCTTAGTTGAAGGAATTAAAACGTTTTGAGCGTTTTTTAAATAAAGAAATTATTTATATAATGCTTTGTAATTTGTATAATATAAATAAATTTTTTAAAACTAAATTTAAGACCTTATTTGGGGTCTAAATATTTTATCGCCCTAGTAATTTTAAACCCTCGGAATAAATCGCATGAACGAAAGCAAATCTCTGAGAATAAAAATTGTATAAAATGAAAAATACTTTAAATATAATAAATTTACTTACTGTATGAAGTCATTATCTTATTAATGAAAATTTTTTTTATCTCTCAAGTCGAAAAAATGTTTATTATATAATTTATAAAACGGAGAAATATATGAAATAAATATAAATGTATAAATGATATTTAAATTCTTTAAATTCATTTTCAAAAATGAAGCCCTTTCGACTACTTTATAATGTCGATCTGACACTTCGATTTTTTTTATTTTAAAAAAACCGCAGCAAATACACCCGTGATTTTTGAATTTGAAGTAATGCAAGATGATAACAAAGTCAATCAAAGTAAATAAAATAAAAATTATGTTAATCCAAGAAAAAAATTCCTTTTAATAATAAGTAAATTATTTTAATTGCCTTTTTGGCGCGCCATACCCCACTAAGTGAACACAGCATACACTATATCTTTCAAATATATATAGAAATCCATCAAGTCATCTGATGTATTTTGTCCTAACCTTTTTCACATTTCTTCCGAATAAAATAAAATAAAATGATATACTAACTTTACCTAATACTTCGCACGATCTATATTATAAATTAACCCACGCATATATTAATTACTTAAATAAATAATGATTAATCTTAATTAACAATTACGCAAATTATATGCATAAAGTTACATAAAACTTGACTATAAAAGTTAGATAATTACGTAAACTACAAGTCTATAATTAAATTATTTTCATAGCTAGTAGAATTTTTTTTTTAAAAAAAAAGTATCGACTAATAATTATTCCATAAATTTAGTCTTAAGCCTTATAAAAGATTTTTCATAAAAATGATCAAAGTCTGAGTTTCTTTGGGAATGAAACTAGAAAATGATCATTTATCGGAGTTTTTTCCAGAATTTTTTTTATACTAGGGAAGCCTTATATAAGATTTTATTGCATCGCATTTTCATATTCAAAGTTAAACATGCACTGATATTAGACCAATATTAAATTATATAAAAATTAGTTAAAATTAAGAATTATTATAGTTATAATATATCAATTATATCACGTAAAAGATAGAATCACACTTACCAAATATTTATTAATAGAAGGGAGATCCATTAAATAGTTGAGCCGCAAATGGATCGGTTGTAGTTTGTAATGGCAGATGCACAACTTGATTTACAATTATGTTAAAAGGTGCATATCTTCTATATATTCTAATATTTCTACGTCTTTGACGTTGAATTAGTTGAATTCTCCTATTAAACATTCTTTGATGATCGATTAAAATTAATAGAAGGATCGAGTAAATTGTTTAATGATATTGTAAAAAATAAGATTGGAGGTGGTAAAGAAAATCGAGGAGGTTTTTATAGAGAAATTAAATAAAAGAATCTAACTCTAAAAAATAATAAATAAAGGAATTGTTCCTCCGATAGCGAATTGACGAAATGAACCGAAAGCGATTACATATATACAAATTCGAAACTTTGATCCGAGTCCTTACATGCACTTTATCCTAAACTAGATATACATGAACCTTATTAAATCAAATTACGTTAAAATATATGTTTTCTTTAAAAACTTTATTTATAAAAATAAATTTAATTATATGATTATAAAGACATAATTAAGGTTTAATGACTCATCATTCAAGTTTCTAATGTTATACGAAATAGAAATTAATATTTCCTTTGAAATTTTAATTGAACACCTTTTTTTAGTTAGAATAACGATGACAAACATTAAAATCAGAAAAGTAACTTTAGGCGCAATAAATATTTATCAGTGACACAGAGAAAAAAAACTTTTTTTTTTTATTTGAATAAATAATGATCTATTGGTCTCATTGAGTTCCTTCTTGCTTTTATTAAGTTAGTGGGTCGAAAACTACGTACTTTAAAAAAAATATCATACTCTCCTTCTCTGAATTAGCCCAATTTTGCGATCTTGTGAAACATTGTTTGAAACATAATTTCTAATTAAAATAAAAAGCAAATTAAAACGTTTTTATTAAACTACTATTTTACGAGTTATTGTCATTATTGTCATTATTGTTTTATTGTGACACAACTTGCATGTGTAACACATTTTTTTTAGTAAAAAAGTTCTTTGGTTTATCCGCTATTTAACAATGGTTTATAAATAAAGTGAAATCTGTTGTACTAACCGTTCGGCATGAATAATGATCTGATTCGCAGATCAAATGATTAAATTTAAAATATTATTATTTCTTCAAGTCGAAGGAAGACAACTTTCTTATTTAAGTAAAACTGTAAAAATTATCTAACAAGTTTTTTTTCAGTTTTTTGTGGGAATAAAAACCGAGAGAAAGATATTTCAGTCACGTGTAGGATATAATGTAACATTAAAAATTTTCAATTCGTACTTTACATTCAGTTTATAAAATTATTTATATATGTTGTAGATGAAAACGGAATCTATGTGGATTCCGAATCCACATATGTGGATACGGGATGTTGGCCAGAATTAAAGCATAGTGCCGGACTAGGATTTTGTAATGCTGGCCAAGATCCGATTTCCACCGGTATTCAGAAACCACATACAACATATACAAGTGTTTTGAAGTTCCCATACTATATTACGAAAAAGAAAATTATTACAAATACAAAGTCTAATGTAATTCGTATATAACACATCAAATTAAGTCATAAAATTGGCTAATAAGGCTGCTCATTGGTAACTCCGTCATGCACAAATGTAGAAGAATTAACGAAAAAAGTAACAAATATTATTATGTATTATCGTAATAAAGAATTGCTGTAGAATTAGAAAAGCTATTTCTAACCTGCCTACTGTATTATCGACGATATCTATCTCGTGATAATTTAATAGTGTTTGATTCCCTACCCTATTATTATGTATGCAATGAGTCATACACCAAATAAAATCCGACAACGTTTCTGGCAATTTAACGTAATTTAGTAATATTCGAAACGAAAAAGTGGCTTTTACAAACATAAACTTATTGAAAACAATCAATTTATAAAAAAGGCAGTAATTTACCTTGTATTATTATGTTCTCATTATAAATTACCATATTTAGCTCAAAATAAGTATGTTATATATGGCCCGCTGTAGTTATTGTATCATATTTTTATATGTGATTAATTTCCTTTTTTTCTTTCATAGAAATCTTATTGATTGTTTAGCTGCCGAAACCGGGGTTTGACAAAAAAAAAATTTATTTATTATTTTTTTTTTTTTTCTTATATCAAAAATAATAAAAAAAATTTTTTTTTTTTATTTGTTATTACAATCTGACCAATTTTGACCATTAAATTTCGCGGTTTCTTTATCCCCAGAAGTTGTTTACATAAATTAATTATTATAAAATTTCCCCTTGTTTTCCTTATTTTATCTTATTTTACTTTTTAAACATTTTAAATTGTAAAATCATTGTTAAAATTATTTAACCATACGCAGTAAATTTTGAAAGGAAACTTAAACATATCATCCCTTGCGTAATCACAAAATAAAATTGTATGTAAGCAAAGCACCGCTTATTTTTTTTTTTCGCTATCAGATCAATTTAAGTTAAAAACTTTCTCGGCCCATACTTTCCCATGCAAATTAGTTGCAAAATTTTAATGGATGAATGAGACTTTGTTTGAACTCTAATGTAATAATGTGTTATTACATAATATTGATAGTCCGCAGTCCGCAGCTTTTTAAACATTGTAATGCAATTCAACTTGTAAATCGCCGAATAGACATATAACTTTAACTGTATAACTGTAATTGTTTTTCATTACTTCTCCGCTTATTAATACCAAAATTTTTTTAAATTATCATAAGTACCTTTAAACAAATCAACAAACTCTTTACTTTTTCCTTAATATAGCGTGAAAAAAAATGAAACAATTGGTATTTTACTATAATCACGTGCCCGGGCTTTTTTGATTGCACTGTGGTGTGCTGTTACGCCTGCTTTGTCATACATTAAAAAATAATATAAAATCCACGTTTGCCCCAAAAAATCGAGTGTTTTTATATCGTATCACAAAAAAAAAAAAAAATTATTTCGTCTATTATAAATTGTACCAAAATGAAATTGGTAATTATTACTTATTTTTATATCGGTGAATTATATTAATTAAACTGATTATTATTACCATTTTTTTAAAATAGCTTCCTTTAAATCGTAATCAAATTAATACAAATGAATTTCTTAATAGATTGTGGATTAGATATTTCTTACTTTTGAGAATTTCCTTCTTGTGATATTATCGGATCAAAAGCACGAACAACATGTATCAGTTTCTGTTGAGGTTTCTTCCAATATATCAGATCATTCAGATCATACGTTGATGCTATATCAGAAAATAAAGAACATGACAGGAAACATCGTAAATTGGATCATTTAATTGATTTAGCTGGTGATGGTAGTGGAGTTGCAGGTGGTGAGTTCGTCATATGTTGGTTTTACCTTATAATATCGAATATACACCTACAATTTTATTTGGAAGGTAAAATAACTTTCAAATATTTAATAATTGAAGCTATTTTTATTTATCAATCGTATTTTTATAAACAGACGATGAAGGAATTGGTGCATTTCTTTGGTGATAGTGTACTTAAAAGTCGAACTCATTCACAACTTGGATCTACTATTATTTTTACCGGTGTCACTGCAGATTGGAATGTTGCGCGATCTTTATATTCAATAGCAGACATTCAATCTTGTATTGATAAAGTGAGACCTGTAAGATTTGGTGAACATCTGGTGAGTTTCGCTGATACACATATTTTCAGTAATTTTTTTTTATATAATTCTAACATACTCAATAGAATTTATATGAACTCGAAGTTGATGGTGCATATGGTTTAGATTATTGTAATTGGATGATTGATTGTGGAGGTGAAAAGGTAACTTAACATTTAAGGATATGGATATGTCTTAATTAATTATTTACTTATTATAAAAAAAAAACTTGAATCTTTTTTAATAGATTAGTATAGTGTCATCATCATCCATGGTACAAAATATACATCCTTTGCCTTTTGATGAGACGGTATTCAGTAATGCTGATGTTTTAACATTTTTATCCTTAAAATTCGGTCCCGGTCTCGGGGATTTATAATTTATATGATTTATATTTGTATATTATGGTATATTATAATATATTTTGTATATTATCATTCTTAGCGACTTGCGTGATAAGGATGGAGCTAGATTTGAAACTATTCTTATTGAAATTGGAAATTGTGTTGGTACGAATAAAATATAATTTAAGCTTAGCATGATTTAATTTAAATATTATAACTAATTAATTATATTTATTAGCCAACACTTTAAAAAATAAAGGAAATGATTTATTCCCTTTACGATGAATGGAATTATTTTTGATATAATAGGTTTTTTGAGTCAACATCTAAGGGCCGTAGGATTACGTGGTATTCCCTTCTATGCAGTATATCCTATGGCTGAGGAATCCCTCAAATATTCTAATATATGTGGGGAATGGTACGTTATTTAATTGTTATTAATAATGAAACAGATATTTGTTAATACTATCTTTATGTCATTAGGATGTGTACCGAGAGACAGCAAAAAATGTACTTGCCAGATAATCTGATGCATTATCAAGACATGATTGAGCAATCGTTATTATATTATGCGATAGTTCATTACAGGAAAAATATCAAGAACCATGCGTTGTCTTCGCTGTACATCTGTCATTACGTAGTGGTGCAGCCATTAATTCATTAGATAGTGGGGAAATAATTCAAGCAATTCAATAATATTTACAAGTTTGTACATTGTAATAATTATTATTATATTACTTTTTCGCGTGACTAATTAATGAGAAATTTAAGAAGAATCCAGTATGATTGTGAGGAGGCGATGTCAGCGTTTAAAGGTTTACAAACAAAATCTAGTATATATCTTCCAATTGACATTCGATTGACAGTCAATGAGGTAACAAATATGTTGAGAGAAAGGAAACCACCTCAGCATGTTTAGAATCGGTCAATATAAGGCCGAATTTACCGAACTCATGAGTGTTTAGATATCGTTAATATTTCTATTAATTCACAATTTGTTAGGACTGTTATGACAGAAATGTAAGTTCGATGTTTAATATTATTTACATATTTTGTTTGAATTCTCTAATAAAATTGTTTTATTATTATTTTAAGCTTGCCTCAAATATTGTATTGGTTAATCTTGGAAAAGATTCGCTAATAGCATCCTTGAATGGAACACTTAATATTCATAATACAAAAACATCATTAACTTCAGCGGAAAATCAATTAAATCAACAAAGGTATGTTTGTAGGGAATTTAATGTCTCAAAACTTATTAATGAATTAACTGAACAAATAGTAAGTTTTAACAAAATAATCTTTTTTTTAATAATAAAATATATTAATAATTTTCTCTAATTTTATTAGTATGGATGTAGAATAGATGAATTTGAAGAAGATAAGAGAAATTCAAGATTTATTTGAATAATGAAAATTTTAAAATTATTACAACTGATAATCAAACTAGGATTAAATTAACTAATCGTATTATGAGAATCTGTATTCAAATAATTATATTAATAAAGTGATTAATATTGTGATTTGTAAAAAAAAAAAAGAACGATAAAAACGTAAAAAATTTTTATATTTTACAAATTATAGCTGAAAATACAAAGTGATTTTTTTACATGAAATTTATTTTGAAACAATTAAAAAGTTTATTATAATCGAAAGAAATGAATAATTTCATTATTTTTGCGAGAAAAAGAATTTCTCATGACGCAGTATATTTTTAAGGTCTTTGCCAACTCTGTAAAAAATTTTTATCCGTGAATATGATACATTTACGAAAAAAAACACGAAATGAATTTTTTATATGTCAACCGAACTGGGGACAAATTTTTTTTTCAAAGTCTTTTTTTCATCTAAAATCATCTTTTTTTTTTGGAAATCTTAGATGTTTTTACATGTAAAATTCATTTTATATACAACTTGGATAAATTTTTTTATTTTTATTTTTATTTTTTATATTTTGTTTAGTTAACCTTACGAACATTTTTTTTTCTACTTCTCTTTATTTAATACTATTTTCTTTAAAAATGTCGACCCGCTTTTCACATTTTAAATAGCTTAATAAATAAACTAATAAATATATTATCGCTATATGTGCCTCACGTCGACCTTTCAGTTCCTCCCTCTCTCCTGAAAATCCAGAGGAGTGCTTCCTGTGGAGGCCACCCTACGGTGGTCCTTCCTCCTAATAACGGGTGAAAATATTGATATTAGTATGACTGCGGATTTTTAATAAAAATGATAGGAAGCGGAAAGAGTTTTTTCCAAGTCGGCAAAACCTTAGTAACGTTAGAATTTTTGTTAACTTGTTTTTGCGTCACATGATTAATAATAAATTCCTTCAAATGAAATTCCAAATTATCTCTTTGAACATTAGAAAAGATCAAGTAATCTTGGTGTTGCTCTTCACCTTGTCTGAGTTCGATACTTTTTGTTCAAGAATTGAACAATTAAAGTGTATGATCAGATGATGTTCTCATTTAATATGATGTGGTAAATTTGAAGATCATTTGGTGGGTGGTAAATTTGAGGATCATTTGGTGGGTTGTAAATTTTATCATTTGTATAGTTTAAAGTTTAAAGATGACTGATTGATGTTAGGGCAGCCTTGAAAAAGATAATGTCGATAGGAAAAAAACTATTTTAAAAGGAAATAAAGGTAAAGATAAGGCCAGAGGCTTTTTTTTCTTTTTTTTTTTTTTTTTTTTTTTTTTTTTTTAAAAAAAAAAATAGAGGAAAATAAGAAAAAATCTTTCTTTTATAGCTTTTTTTTTACATTAAACAAAATAAATAATTTTAAAATAAATGTCGATCATACTGTAAATTAATTATATTAATTTTTTTTTTTTCCTTTTATTGATTTATACGCTATGCTAACGAACAATATCAAGGCTTATTTGTTTATTTATGCTATTTGTAACTTATATTATATTAGTTTATAATAATCGGGTCATTGACACAAACTGACAAACTGAGCTTTTCGTACGACGTGAAATTTTTTAAAATAAAACTATGAAAAAGATTGAAAAAATGTATGTGATATTTTTGAGTCAGTTACACAAACAAGTATTTAATTTTTTTTATATAAGGTCAAAAAAAATTAAAAAATCAGAAAAAAAATTTCGTGAAAAAATTCTTATTCCCGTATCTATCACATATTTATCTGACTTATCGATAAAATTAAGAACTTACATTTTATCGGATTTATCGATCAACTTATATCTAAATTTCGAAATTAAAAACTTATAATTTTATTCCTATTTTTCTATCTATATATATTTATTTAGAAAAGCGATAATATTTCCAGGATTTTTTTAATGGGTTAAAGGAAATTTTAATTGAATTTCATATTTTACCCGAGTAATTACATACTGTATATCATACTATATATATAAACAAACTCTGGAAACAATAATTCGTCCTGAAAAAATTGATACCTCATTTATTTTATATCAATATAACTCGATAGTCGAAAGAAAACTATGAATACTAATAAATCATCACCAAATAATTTTAGTAACAATGTCCACGAATCTAATTTACAAACAACAACTTCTACGCAGCAGGCATACGATACATACGATACATATACGCATGTCACATATAGTAATGATGTTAATAATGCGATTTTTGATCAACAATCTCAACAATCCATGTCGAACAACAACGCCAATATCGCTTCACCTAATCATAATCATCAGCAACAATATCAATATATTCATCAATCCGACATTCCTAACAACACTGTTACTATTACTCCTGACAACAATTATCAACAATCCATGTCCAACAATAACGTTAATATTTCTACTGATAATAATCATCACGTTTCAAACAATATTCCTCATAATAACATTCAGCAGCAATCCACGTTCAATAACGTTTCACCTCCGCAACAAAATCAACCTAGTGATTCATCTCAATCTAATATCCTTCCTTTGCTTAATTCGTTTGGTATTAATATTAGTTCTCCTCAGGCGACTATTATTATTATGCCTACAACTAATTCGGATATTCAAAATCAGCTTCAGCAAGTTCTTGCTTATTTGAATCGTTCTCAACAATAAATTCGTAATATTCAATGAATAGGATTTTCATGTTTCATAATATTCTTTATCCTTTATTTATTTATTCCTTTGTATTTCTAACATATAATGGTTAGTAAAGTTATTACTGTCGCGGTAGAAATACATAGTATGACCAAACCATTGTATCTTTCAACATTATTTAATAAATATTATTATTATCTTAATCCTCAACAGTGGTAAAGAGAACTATACATTTTTTACATTTTTTAAAATTTTGATTATATCGCAGCACGTGAATTTGAGATTCTCTGGTTAAATAACCAAAGTTTTTTTTTATGAATGATAACGATAGTACTGTATATGCAATGATACAGTGAATGAATATAATGCTTAAATTATCTAATTGCGAAAAAAATTAATTTTTTATTTATTCAATTAAAATAATTTAATTTATTACAATTCTTTCACTTGTTCTTTCAAAAGGCAACTCCAACGAAAAATATCAAAAAATTTTTCTGTAAATTCCCTAAACTACTTTTTAAGTCGAAATTAGCTTTTTGTAAGTTAAAACCTTTTTTATAATGGGTCGTGAGGAATAGTACCGGCAATATTATCCACCTTTATTCAAATATTTAATATTTTTTAATTTATTATATGGTATCCCCATTCTATTATATTATTCGGTAAAATTGTTTCCATTTGACATTTTTGAATCAAGTTATCAATTTTTTCATTTCAAGATGTCCATTTTGAAAAATGTTCCTTCATTATCAAGAATTTTAAATCCATCAAAATTCTTACTTATTATATTTATCGCTTCTAATTTTTCATCATGTGAAAATGATTCGTCATTAAGAATGGTTTGTTTTACAGATTCATATTGTTCTTCCTCATTTTTATCATAACCCTTTAATAAATATGCTTTATTAATTGCATCACTAACTAATTCATTTCTAATAGAAGACATATTATATGTAAATATTATTTCTTAGGAGCGAGAATTGTTTGATAACTTCCCACTCAGATATGTATTATTATTTGTTATATAATGTTAACGTGCTATTTACAACAGCCGATCGTGTTACGTACGGGAACGGGAGTATGTTGAACAGTCCTATTTATATCAAATTTTTAAATAAATCCAAATTACTGTATATAAATTCTAATTATTTAAACACCTTTATTTCGAACTTATTTGTATAATTTTACAATCCGGATTTTCCGGTAAAATTCGGTCGTAAGAATCGGGAAAATTTTCAATTCGGTCACATTAATTTCCGGAGTTTTAACGGAATTTCCCGAAAAGCAAGGAGTAAAAAGAATGACTAGGACATCATCATTTTATCACTTCAATTTTGCCGATCATTTGTCGATATATTTTTTTGAAAAATTTCATCAGTATTTACTGTACTTATTTATGTGTAACTTCTACCCACCATAAAGTGGAACTATATAAAGTTTTTTTTTTTATAAACCTTTTATTAATAGAGCTATATAAAGTAAATTGTGATAAAACTGAAAAGTATTTTAATTTTTAAATATAATTGTGAATGCTATATGTGCTGTATTAACACGTGCGGGTAATCCTGCATCGTTTTTTTGTTTTATTTCATATTCGTACTTCATAATGACGAAATATATTATTATTGTTTGTGTTCCGTCTTTGTTTATTATGCCAATCAAAATTCTCAAATAATTAAAATAAGCCTTACAAGTTACAACCTCATTATATAGATTGATATACCCATTTAAGATATATATATATATATATAAGGTAAATTCGGCGTACATGCAACTCTTACCTAAAATTTTTTAACTCATTTTTTTTTTTTTTTAATAGAACATAAAATAAATTGATTTTGTACAATTTTTTAATATAAATAATCAGATACGTTAGACTTTGGGGGGATCGAAAAAGAACAAATTTAAATAAAAAAATTTTTTTATTATAAGCCATTGGTTTTTAGTAAAAAAAAATAATATTTTTTTTTACAATGAAATTTATTTAATTTTAATCTAGAAATATCAATTATAAAAAATATATATAAAATTGTCTAAAATAAAAATTCTTTAGAAAGTTTAACGTACAATGACAAAATATGAATTCCTGATGAATATTTTAAATATTACTAACAGAAATTTGTGTGTGAGAGAATTTAAATGGAAAACAAAATGAAGAAAGAATCAATCAAAAAAAATAAAAATAAAAAAAATTTTCAATATATTGTGAACATATTTGTAAAACAAATAAAAAAGCTCTCTTTCTTTATGATGGTTCCAATGGAAATATTTTAACTTTTCCTAGTAAAGAATAATACCAAAGTACACAAGAAATTCAAGTAATTGATTTTTGATCACTAAATTTCTTTGTGAACAAAGCGTTGTGGGACGAAGTCTGCCACCCTTCAGTCCCTTCATCCACACAAATTTAAATGAATTATAAAATAGAACATTATATGCAGGAGTGATCGGCATTAACACCCAAAATACTAAGATTCCTGCGCCTCATTCCTAATTAGATACCACAGCTTTATCTACAGATGTATGAACTGAAGGTTACATAAATTTTTATAAATAAAGGATCACAGTAGTATGCAAGGATTATCTCTAAGTCTCTAACATTAACAAGACTGTATTTTTCCCTCCAAACATGGCCACTTTAATTACTACCTTTTTTTACTGATTGACAGTTACAACCTCTGATTTTAAAAAAAGGTCTGGGCTTTGAGTTGCGCTAAGTATACATCCAGTTCTTTCTTTTTTTTTTATGATGCCAGATGGAATATTACATAAAACAAGTTAACTATAATGTTTCTTTTTCAATATAGTGAGGATATTTAAGTTTAATTGTCAAGATCTAACCTCTAGTCTAACCCCAGAGAATTTATCTTGAGATGAAGCTTCCTTATTCGTGTTATCTAAAATTAAACCACCAGCAATCGGCAAAATTCTCGGCATTAAATTTTGCTGCTGGTAATATTGTACATACGGAAACATGCATAAAGATCTTTTCCTTACAAGAACGAGTTTTTACTTTATAACATTTAATTTTTTTAAGTGGATAAAGATAAGGTTTATTTATTTATATTTAATCGATAAATATTTTCATCATATTTATAAAAAAAAAATTTTTTTAGATGACTATCAATTTATTTATTAATCCTTTGTTTGTATTGCAAGCAAATATGCCTGCACTGATGTATTTTAAATTTAATTATCACTGTGATATTTCTAACGAATAATGCTCTAATTTTTTCCCTTTTTTTTAGAAAAATAATTCTATTATTTAAAATACCTCAACGGCTCAACCTCTTCAATATACTGAAATTTAACCTTATTTATTTTTTATTCATTCAAGTTTCAGATGTTAAACGAAATTGAAATTGGAAATTTTAATTAAACTAAACAAAAACTTTTTGGCACAGATACAAGCACAAATATTTACCAAATATGGCTTTTATTAGTGATATAATGATCAGCAGGATATATTTTCATTATAGATTTATTATATTTATATTTAGCACAAAAATTACGTATGTAACTAATTTCCTTTTTTTCAATTTTTTTATTTATTTTTATTGTTTATATTCAATTTTTTCATAATAAATATTGATTGTTTAGCTGCTTGATCTTTGTAGCGCAAAACTGGAGTTGGAAAAAAAATTTTTTTTTTCACTACAATCTGACTATTAGTAATTTTCACGATATCTTATCCCCGAAATTCATTATTTTTACAAAATTTCTCACAGTTTTCCTTATTTACTTTTAAGGATTAAAATTAATAACAACATACTAGTTAAAGTTGGTCAGTAAAATTTTGAAAGGAAATTAAACATAATGTATTTATTTTATTTTATTTTATTTTTAAAATTTAGACAATGATGGGGCCCTAAAAGCCTGTGGGATGAACCCCTAAAAAGGAAGCTACACGACCCACTATGAATGTAAAAAAAACCCAACCTCCTCAAATCGTCCTGCCTGTTATTTAAAAAAACAACACTAGGCATGACCTGCATTGTAAGGAAACGGATATATATGAAAAGAAGAAGAAAAGAATGAAAAGAAAGAAAAAAAGAAACTATTATCATTTAAAAAATCTATATAAGAATTTTAACCCAAAAAATCGGTCCACCCTCCAGAATGTAAATAATTGGAAGTAATAAGGACCAACCACAGTGGAGTCGGAGGCCTAGGAGTTTGGAACCCTAGACATAAACGGATGTCTACGGGGTAAGGCAGAGGAATTCGCGGCGGTAGGTATAGAAGACGAATCCAAAGTAGGGCTCAGATTAACCGTATTGGACGTGGAATTAGAAGAGCGGGAAGTGGTAAAACGTTTAACTCGTTTTTTGTTTTTAGTAGTGATATGCGTGCGTTCCCAAGCGCGAAGGTTATTATTGTGCTGAGGCAAATCGTTTGGTATAATGATTGCTGAATAGCTAAAAAGAATTCAAATATAATTTTTTTGGTCAACGTTGCTTTGAACGTGAACGAATGTACTAAGTCATAAAGACTTTGAGGATCAACTGTGTAAAATTAAATAAATTTCGTGTGATGAAAACATCAAAAAGATCATATCTCTCAACACTATCAAAATTTGTTTGTGGGTTTATAAAGTGGAGTTAATAAAAGGACGTAAATTATCACGAAAACCCAAAAGGAAGTTGATGTCTGGTTCTTTGAAACAGGTCGGACAGGGAATACCATTGTCCGAATGTATCATGCACATCATATATGTGTTCACTATAATCACGTGCCCGGCTTTTGATTGGTGTGCTGTTACACCTGCTTTGTCATACCTTAAAAAATAATATAAAATCAGGTCTTTTTCACGTTTGTCCTAAAAAAATTCTTTAGGTGTTTTTATATCGTATCACAAAAAAAAAATAATTTATTTAAATTGTACCGAAATGAAATTGGTAATTACTACTTATTTTTATATTGGTGAATTAAATTAATTAAACTGATTATTATTACCATTTTTAAAATAGGCATCCTTTAAAGTCATAATCAAATTAACGCAAATGAATTTCTTAATAGATTGTGGATTATATACTTCTTACTTTTGAGAATTTTCCTTCTTGTGATATTATCGGATCAAAAGCACAACAACATTCATCAGTTTCTGTTGAAGTTTCTTCCAATATATCAAATCATTCGGATCATACATCATCTTCTAATGATGCTATATCAGAAAATAAAGAAAATGATAAGAAACGTCGTAAGTTGGATCATCTAATTGATTCAACTGGTGATGATAGTGGAAACGCCTGAATTTAGTAGCATCGATTGGAATATTGATTTCATATTTATTACCAATTATAATCATATGTTAGCTTTACCTTATATTACTGAATATACTAGTTTCAAAGGAAAGATTACGCTACAGAGCCTACAGTTTTATTTGGACGGTAAAATAATTTTTAAATATTAAATAATTGAATCTATATTTATTTATTAATCATATTTTTTCTTTTATGGACGGAATTGTTGTATTTCTTTGGTGATAGTGTACTTAAAAGTCGAACTCATTCACAACTTGGATTTACTAATATTTTTACCGGTGTCACTGCAGATTGGAATGTTGCACGATCTTTATATTCAATAGCAGACATTCAATCTTGTATTGATAAAGTGAGACCTGTAGGATTTGGTGAAAATCTGGTGAGGATCGCTGATACACATATTTTCAGTAATTTTTTTTTTATATAATTCTAACATACTCAATAGAATTTATATGAACTCGAAGTTACTGCTGCATATGGTTCAGGTTATTGTAATTGGATGATTGATTGTGGAGGTGAAAAGGTATTAACTTAACATTTAAGGATATGGATATGTTACTTAATTAATTAATTATTTATTATAAAAAAAAAATTGAATTTAATAGATTAGTATAGTGTCATCATCATCCACGGTACAAAATATACATCCTTTCTCCTTTTGATGAGACGGTATTAAATAATGCTGATGTTATCATTCTTAGCGACTTGCGTGATAAGGATGGAGCTAGATTCGAAACCATTCTTATTGAAATTGAAATTGTATTGGTACGAGTAAATATAATTTAAATTTAACATGATTTAATAACATTCTTTAAATATTATAACTAATTAATTATCATATTTAATAGCCAACACTTTAAAAAAATAAAGGAAATGTTTTATTCCCTTATACGATGAATGGAATTATTTTTGATATAATAGGTTTTTTGAGTCAACATCTAAGGGCCGTAGGATTACGTGGTATTCCCTTTTATGCAGTATCTCCTATAGCTGATGAATCCCTCAAATATTCTAATATATGTAGGGAATGGTACGTTAATCAATTGTTATTGAAACAAGAACCAGATATTTGTTAATACTATCTTTATGTCATTAGGATGTGTACCGAGAGACAGCAAAAATGTACTTGCCAGATAATCTGATACATCATCAAGACATGTTTGGGCAATCGTTATTATATTATGCATCTAGAGCTGATAGTTCATTACAGGAAAAATATCAAGAACCATGCGTTGTCTTCGCTGGACATCTGTCATTACGTAGTGGTGCAGCCATTAATTCATTAGAAAGTGGGGAAATAATTCAAACAATTCAATAATATTTACAAGTTTGTACATTGTAATAATTATTATTATATTACTTTTTCGCGTGACTAATTAATGAGAAATTTAAGAAGAATCCAGTATGATTGTGAGGAGGCAATGTCAGCGTTTGAAGGTTTACAAATAAAATCTAGTATATATCTTCCAATTGACATTCGATTGACAGTCAATGAGGTAATAAATATGTTGAGAGAAAGGAAACCACCTCAGCATGTTTAGAATCGGTCAATATAAGGCCGAATTTACCGAACTCATTTATGAGTGTTTAGATATCGTTAATATTTCTATTAATTCACAATTTGTTAGGACTGTTATGACAGAAATGTAAGTTCGATTTTTAATATTATTTACATATTTTGTTTGAATTCTCTAATAAAATTGTTTTATTATTATTTTAAGCTTGCCTCAAATATTGTATTGGTTAATCTTGGAAAAGATTCGCTAATAGCATCCTTGAATGGAACACTTAATATTCATAATACAAAAACATCATTAACTTCAGCGGAAAATCAATTAAATCAACAAAGATATGTTTGTGGGGAATTCAATGTCTCAAAAGTTTATTAATGAATTAACTGAACAAATGGTAAGTTTTAACAAAATAATCTTTTTTTTAATAATAAAATATATTAATAATTTTCATTAATTTTATTAGTATGGATGTAGAATAGATGAATTTGAAGAAGATAAGAGGAGTTCAAGTTATAAAATTAGTTTTAATATCACCAAAAGCAATGATTTATTTGAATAATGAAAATTTTAAAATTATTACAACTGATAATCAAATTAGGATTAAATTAACAAACATCTTGGTCGAACAATTATCTGTATTCAAATAAATTATATTAATAAAGTGATTAATATTGTGATTTGTAAAAAAAAAAACGAACGATAAAAACGTAAAAAATTTTTATATTTTACAAATTAAAACTGAAAATACAAAGTGATTTTTTTACATGAAATTTATTTTGAAACAATTAAAAAGTTTATTATAATAATAAAATAAATAAAATTTCAAAAGAAATGAATAATTTCATTTCTCATAGCGCAGCAAATTTTTAAAAATTTTATCCGTGAATATGATACATTTACGGAAATAAAAAAAAACGAACTGGGGGATAAATTTTTTTTTCAAAGTCTTTTCATCTAAAATCTTTTTTTTTTTGGAAATATTAGATGTTTATAACTAACATAAATGGCAGATTACAAGCAAAATTTGACTAGGAATTATGCAGATGGATAATTTGTTTGTCGATAATCTAAAAAAATTAAAAATTTATATAAAAAGAATGTAATGGAGTTGGGGAAATGGGGAAATGAAGCTCGATTACACTTTTAAAACTTTCTTAACGTGTAAAATTCATTTTTTTATACGACTTGGATGAACTTTTTTTATTTTATTATGATATTTTGTTTAGTTAACCTTACGAACTTTTTTTTTCTACTTCTCTTTTTTTGGATTTCTATTCAAATATGATATATTAGATCACTAAAATGTTTTGATTTTTTGATTTTTTTGTTCGCTTAACGGCAAGAAAATAGGTTATGCATACAGTAACTATATAAGGTAAAAATCTTAATGTTTTAATAATAAAATCTAATAACATTTATTTGTTTTAGTTATAATTATGATTTAAATCTTTTTTTTTCATCCATTTATTTGATGGGGAATTGGGGAATTGAGATCCTCATAAAAATATCGAGCATTAAAATCCCGATCGAAAAATGGAGATAATCTGGCATTCATTTTACATGAAATTTTCACACATTATTTATTTTTATTATAATAATAAATTAATAATGGATACTGTAGATGTTCATATTTCATGTTTCGTTCTTTTTGTTTTATAATACATATTTCAAGGCAAAAGGTAAACCTCTAAAAAAACTTGACGAAGTTGAAGACTCTAAAAGTCAAGATGAAGTTCCCCCCAAAAAAGAAAGTCTCTTACTGCGCAAAAAAAAAGAAATTTGTTTTAAAAAAAATATCAACACTTTTTTTAAAACAAAAAGACTTAGCTAATGAATATAGTAATGTTAGCAAAGGAAGTGACATCTTAAAGCAAAAGACCATTAGCTTTCTGTGGATAGTGACTCATATCAAGCTGGTTTAAGGCGTGAAAGAAATACCTTTTTCTATTATTGAAGAAGTTTTAACCCTACTTGTGTAAAGATAAATTTAAGGGATCAAATGGTTAAGTTAATGATCAACAAACGTTACAATTTAAAGCAATATAATATTCGTGGGGAAGCAGCAACTAGTACGCCACTTCAGAATCTTAAAGCAATGCGTGTAACTGTTTTTCTTACCTGCCAATGCAACTGGAAGTGAAATTTTGTGTCCCTTGTTTATACATAAACATGAGAATCCCCGAGTTCTTAAAAATATTGATAGAAAATACTTCCAATAGCAAAAGTTTAATTTTTTTATAATGCGAAATTATAATATGCATATATACATAATATAATAAAACATTATTTTGAAACGTACATAATAATACTTTAAAAAAATTTTATTTAAAATTACTTTAATTAATAAATTTTAGATATCAAAATGTTTAACGAATTATTTAATATTATGTAAAAAAATATTAACACCCTTATTAATTCATGATATCATTTTTTTTAATACCCTGAAAAAAAAAATATCCAATTTGCCCAAATTTAGTTAGATTCTCTTTCATTTTGTGGACTGCGTATTGGCGCGGAAATTATTATTATATTGTTAATAATAATTAATTAATAAAAATATATATTTGAATAAATAAAAAAAAATTTTTTTTTCGCAATTAGATAATTTATGAAATGTGGTGTGCTTACATTATATTCATTTACTGTATTATTTCATATACTATCGCTATCATTCAAACTTTAGTTATTTAACCATTTGGTATTAAGAGTGAGTGACAATTTGATATGATCACGTGAGTGAATTATACGGTGATCGTCTTTTTTTAAGTTTTTCGACACATATACATTAGAAAGCAACTGATTTAAAATTGTTGTTAATAATTAGCTTTATATAGACAAAGATTTTTGACCATTGGTTACTTTGTTATTAGTTTTTATATGTTTTGGAGAAATCTTAAATTCACGTGCTGCGATATAAATTCTTGTAATCAAAATTTCAAAAAATGTATAGTTCTCTTTACCACTGTTAAAGGATTAAAAATAATAATATTTATTAAATAATGTTAAAAGATACAATGGTCTAGTTATACTATATATTTCTACTGCGACAGTAGTAACTTTACTAACAAAGGAATAAATAAATAAAGAATAAAGAATAAACATGAAAAAACCCTATTCATTGAATATTACGAATTTATTGTTGAAACCGAGTTTACGTTGAAAGATGATTTAAATAAGCAAGAACCGCTTGCTGAAGCTGATTTTGAATATCCGAATTAGTTGTAGGCATAATAATAATAGTCGACTGAGGAGAACTAATATTAATACCAAACGAATTAAGCAGAGGAAGGATATTAGATTGAGATGAATCACTAGGTTGATTTTGTTGCGGAAGTGAAACGTTATTGGACGTGGATTGCTGCTGATTGTTATTATGAGGAATATTGTTTGAATCGTGATGATTATTATCATTAGAAATAGTAACGTTATTGTTTGACGTGGGTTGTTGATAATTGTTATCAGGAGTAATAGTAGTGTTGTTAGGAATGCCGGGTTGATGAGTATGTTGATATTGTTGCTGATGATTATGATTAGGCGAAGCGACATTGGTGTTGTTGTTCAACATGGATTGTTGTTGAGATTGTTGATCAAAAATCGCATTATTAACATTATTACTATATGTGGCATGCGTATATGTATCGTATGTATCGTATGCCTGCGTAGCAGTTGTTGTTTGCAAATTAGATTCGTGGACATTGCTATTAAAATTGTTTGGTGATGAATTATTAATATTCATAGTTTTCTTTTTGCTATCGAGTTATATTGATATAAAATAAATGAGGTATCAATTTTTCAGAACGAATTATTGCTTCCAGAGTTTGTTTATAGTATATATAGTATGATATATGTATACTCGGATAAAATATGATATTTAATTAAAATTTCCTTTTAACTTATTTAAAAAATCCTGGAAATATCATCGCATTTTTAAATAAATATATATAGATAGAAAAATAGGAATAAAATTATGAGTTATGATCGATAAATCCGATAACATATAAGTTGATAAGTCCGGGAATAAGTGAAATTTTTTTTCTGATTTTTTTTTTTTTTTTTGATGTCAAAGTATTATCCGATCATTTATATATTAAAAAAATTAATTTATTTATGTTACTATAAAGTTAATTTGAGAATTTTGGTTTGCAGGTAATAAACAAAGCTGCTCAAAGAACAGATGAGAAACGGAACACAAACAAAAATAATAATATATATATATATATTTATTTTAAAATTTGCTTTTCAGTTTTACCAATAATTTATTACTTTATATAGTTATCAAAGAATTCTTTAATGGTTACACATAAATGAGTAAATATTTAAATTGCCATGAAAAACATACCCATGTGATTATTTTCCTGTAGAGTTACTTGTATACATATAACTCATTAGTCATTACATGTAAAAAAAAGCGTGACGTGATAACTGCTATGTAGCAGTAACACAGGTGACACAAAAACACAAATATATTATAATTTCATGAAAAGGGAGACATACACATATAAATAAAATAGGATGATTTTTTTTTTTCGGTTAAATTAATATAAACCATTGGTTTTTGTGTAATGTATAAAAAAAAATGTACATAATAAAAAAAAAAANAAAAGAGAAGCGTTAAAAACGTTTCTCTTAAAAAAAAAATAATAAATATTTTTTTTACAATGAAATTTATTTAATTTTAAATTAAGAAATATCGATTATAAAATATATAGATATAGATATAAATAATATCATTAGATTTATTAGATTTAAAATCTAATGGGAAATAATTTTATATAAATTAAAATGTCTAAAATAAAAATTCTTTAGAAGTGTAACGTACAATGACAAAATATCCTGGCGAATATTTTAAATATTACTAACAAATGAAATAAGATATCAAGAATTAATCAATCAAAAAAAAAAATAAAAAATAAAAAAAGTAAAAAAAAAAATTTCAATATATTGTGAACATATTTGTAAAACAAATAAAAAAAGCTCTTTTTCTTTACGATGGTTCCAATAGAAAACATTTTAACTTTCCTAATGAAGAATGTTACCAAAGTACACAAGAAATTCAAGTAATTGACAAATTTCTTTTGGCTAAGCGGTATGTTCCGAGATCTACAGATCTACATTACTTTATGAAGGTTTTTTTATAAACAAGGATGAATTTTGTTATTGGAGAAGGTTTTTTGGTTGTATAATTGGTTTTTTTGAGTCGAATTTAGTTTTAAATGTGGCGATGATAGGTTGATCGGTCACGGCTTACGCTTAAAAATTTCATTTACTCAATTTAATGTGAAAAATTGAACTTAATTAGTTATCATATACTGTAACTGCAAATAATTTAATTTATAAAATATACTAGTACATTCCTATATATTTGTCTCCTTATAATAAATATTTTCTACCAACAGTACAACATACTATTGATTGATTGCAATCACGTCTGTAAAATTTCAATAATATTTGTCCAGTTAATGGAAGATTTTTTTTTGATTATATCGATATAGATTAAATTAATATAAATATACATGTGTGTGTGTATTAGTAATATAATATTCATATTGCATGTATTATATTCATTATATTCATATTTATGTACAACTGAATTCCCTCTCTTCTTAGCTCGGAATATTAATCATAAAGTTGGTAAAAAAATAAATTACAAACAAGTGAAGAATATTGAAATTTCATAATAGTGAGTTTTTGCGTGTGTTTATACGTAAACTATGCACCATTATGTAAACTTTTCGTCATATAAACGTATTATAATGACATTAATAATAATCAAGCGATTTCTCAGATTTTATGCCTATTTCTTAAAAAAAAACACATCATTAATTTATATTCTCCATATAATTTATTAAATTCAGCCAAACGTCAGTATTTGATTATTTGTGTGCATAAATTAAAACCATGCTTTAAAAGAATGTTTTATTACATTCTTCATTACAATTAAAATTGCAGTTAGAAAAATTAAATTTCAATTTTTTGTCTTATAAATGTAATTTTTTGTATATAAAGATATAAATTTTTATTTTTATAATAATTAAATAGCTTATTTTTGATTTTATTTGTTCGGAATAATAAGTGTCGGGATTTGAATTTTCGATGATCATAAAACATATACCGTGCTGATCATCTTAATCATGTTTAAAGGGGGAGTTATGACTAATAAATGTAAAATATATGAAATGTGATTTATTTTGAACTTGTTCATTTCTAATAAAATCATGACATTCGAATTTATAATAAATATTTTTTAACCATAATTGAGTTAATTATGATTCAATTACAGTCCCCGGCGAAAAGAATGGCGGTGCGAGTATCATTTGTTATTTTGGATATGAGATCAGAATTATCCTATTTAAATTAAAACTTGTAAATGCCCAATGGATTTTTAGAATACTATTTTAAAAAGCAATAAAAAAAAATGAAAATTTATTGTTGTTTTTACACCTATTTTACCTTCTAAAAAACCAAGAAGTTATAAATTTAATAGAAATCGGAGCATAATAATTTGCTATGAATTTTTTTAAAATGCTCAAAATCCTACATAATAATAAATTCCAATTTTTTTTTAAAAAAAACCACTTACTTTAACTGCCAAATATTATAATTGCATTTAGTTATATCACATTATCACAGAGAAATACTACTAATAATTTTTTGAATTTGGTATGAAAATTTGAAATAAAAAGTTTAAACTTCATTTTCTCATCAACCAAAGCTTGTATTGAAACAAAATTTCAACTATTAGATTTCTTGCAATTACGAGATTTAAATAATGGTCTTTTATTATATTATTGAGTTTTTATATTGCTTTTAGAAATGATTATCTTTATACAACATAAAAATTCATAATACTCACTATTATACTTGAACTATCACATTACACAGATGCTACACAGTAATTTTGAGACCACCATTCGAACCACATAGTCAAGAGGAATCCAATGGTGGTAAATTTGTCTCAATCTGACCTCTGGATGGCAAGAAAGTTAAGAAAATATTAAAATATCATAACAAAATAACGCTGGTTAAGAATGCGAATAGTATGCAATAATAAATTAAAGCATTTATTGACAAGGGAAGATGATCATATCAAATGTTATTTAAATAATGAAATATATGTATTTTCTATTCCTCTTTCAGAAAATAAAAAAATATTTCACATTTTACTATAAATTACATTCGTGATATCAAAAAAACTGACCGCCATGCTTTTCGCCGGGGTCTGTAGTTATTGTAAAAATATTTATTTATAATTTTCTTATTAATTATATAGCATATGACTCTAATTCTGTTATCCATATTTCTGAAATAGATAAAACCTTCACCTATAACTTCATACTTTATTATGAGTTTATGACAAAGTAATTTGTGAATTTAATCTGAAAAAAATAAATTTTTTAACCAACTCTTTCAAATGCATATAATCTGTTCCTTTTATATTTTGCTTTTATAAACCTTCTTAATATTAATTAAAATAGTTGTTTCACTTTCATAAACCTTCTTAATATTGATTATAATAGTTGTATTAATTGAAATTTTTTAGCATATTTTTTTTATTTATACCAAAATATAATATTTCTTTTATTTTAAAAAAAGTTATACAACTTAATATTTTAAAATATTAGTTATTTTAAATAATCTTCTTACTATAGAAAAATTAAAGTTGCTTCACTCTGATTTGTACATAAATTCACTTTCTACAGATTTTGTATCAATGGATTAACATGAATCAAATTCTCTTTACTTATCAATATTATTTAATTAATGAAATTAAAGAAACTGGTATTATAGTAAATATTAATCTCATTTTTTTTATTATTTAATTAATTTTTTATTTATATTAAAAATTTTTCTTTACTAATTAGTTTACTTGATTTAGTATGAAAATATTTACCTTGGATTTTATGAATATTTTTACTAATTTAATATACTTTGGCAATTTATATTTATCACTACTATCTATAATAATTTTATTTAAAAATTTACTTTTATGATAAAGTTTTTGGAAACAATTAATTAATATTATTTAAATTATGAAAATCTCTTTATGGTTATTTAATTTGCCAAAAATACTTATTCATCTTTTTCATTTTTACTACTTCTGCTTTATGTGATTTTAATACCAATTAGTTGAAAAATTTGTTGTATATAGATTGTTTTACTTTTTTTTTTTTTTGCTACAGTGCAAATAATTCTTTATTAAGATTTAGAGAAGTTAAGCTAATACAATATATGTACAACTAAACAAAAATCCTAATTTATTGTAAGAACTAAATCACCTGCTAACTTCATTTGAAACAACCATATGTGCACTGTCAGTGAAGGATTTAGGCTAGAGGATTAAGTCCACCTTGAAGGTGTCTTTTCTTAGATGGAGTTCATCCTTCCAGTCTACACCTTGAGTGCCCCAAGGACTTACTGCTACTGGAGAATTGTTTTACTAGTATAATCATTTTTTTGGGTTTTATAGATTATCTAATGATATTACTTAATAATAGCTTTTACAGAATAGAATTTTGATTTTATAATAGATATATTATTCATTATTTAGTTAATATAATTGCATTTACTTTATTTGAAATATATCAAAAGAGATAATTTAAAAAGTATTGGTGTAAATTTAATTTTCTTTTTTTAATTTTCTTTTACTATAATTACTTTTTAGGTAACAATATATAGTTTATTTTTTAATTAATACAGTCAACTCTCTTTATAGTCACACATTTGGGACAGTCCATATTTGGTGATTATTTTACAAGTGTTTTGTAAGTTTAGTGGCCACTACTTTCCACACCCTCTATTGAAGGCTATGGAGGTAGGTCGT